TAGCTGACGCAAATAGTGTCAGAAAAGCCGACGCTATTATTTAAATATAGCGTCGGCTTTTAAGACGCTAAACTTAAAATATTTAATTTAAATTTATTTTAAGTTTAGCGTCGGAAAAGCCGACACTAAATCTTAAAATAGCGTCGGCTTTTCTGACACTATTTGCGTCAGCTAATAGCTGACGCTTATTTTCCGCCGCTTATTCAGCGTTTTCTTGTAGTGCAAGCACCCCTTTTGCACTACCTGCATATCCAAATACGTGGCTACTCAAATGCGCCAAAATATTCTCAAGGTGACCTGTCCAAACCCAAATTGTTCTGTGGAATTGAAGCCAAAATGTTTGCACACCGTTTTGCCTAGGGAAGTTGTTGTTAGATGGGAATCTGCGAGGTGTGAGTCTTCAATTGCTGGGGAAAATAAGACTTATTGCCCCTTTAAGGATTGTTCTGTGTTGTTGGTGAATGATGGAGGAGAAGTTGTGACCAGTGCTGAGTGCCCCTCCTGTCATAGGCTATTTTGTGCACAGTGTAAGGTTTCTTGGCATGGAGGGTTGACTTGTGAGGATTTCCAAAAATCCAAAGGGAAAACACATGAAAAAGAGTTTGATAACATGTTTTTGAAGTTGGCCGAAGAGAAAAATTGGCAGAAATGTCCCAAGTGCTCTATGTTTGTCCAGAGAAGTGGAGGATGTGAACACATTTCGTGCAGGTTATGTCGCATATATATAGTTCATCTTTTAATTGTCACCGATTTTGTCTTTCAATTGCAGTGCAAACAACACACTCTTTTCCATACACAATTAAAATTTATTGAAAATTACACAAGTATGAAAGAGTCCTTTACTGTGAGAGATCTATCAAAAATTTTGATTTTCAATAAATTTCAACTGATCACAACAAGTTAGTAAGTGTATTTCTAACGCGTATCATCTATGTAATTTATTGTTACATGATAAATAATAATGGAAGTTTATATGGAAAGTGATTGTATACTGTGTCCAATTTTGTCTTTTCAGGTGTGGGTGCCACTTCTGCTACGGTTGTGGGGAGAAATGGATGTATGGACATGTATGCAACAAGCGTTGATCCACTTGAACCGGGTACAATTGGAAAGAAAGAAAAGTGTTGAGTTTAGTGTTTAAGTATTTAACAATTGTCGGTTGTAGACTTGTAGCCTTTTTAAGGATACCTGGTTTATCACTTTTGTGTTTCTAAAGTTCTAAACAACAAATTAGTCTTCTACATACAAGTTATTTTAGGTGTGAGCTTTCTGATATGGACATGTAAAACCTTTGTGCATATCAAATGCTGGTTTCTCTTTTTGGTGTATTCAATGATCATATATATGATTGTCATGTTTGACAATAGGGTGATGAGATTTTAAGGTGTTGTATTAGGTAGGCTCCGATTTTTCTGCACATCTTTAATTAGAAGAAACTAAACAAATTTTTAAGGTGCTTTGTGTCTGTTAGATCGCGAAGAGATAAAAACAAACAACGCAATTTGTTTGGAAACAGCACAGCCTCTTTTCAGAGTCTTTATATTGTGCCTAGCATCCTGTTTTGAAAATCAAATAATCCTATAAGAAGGCATCTAAACATATCATTTTAAGAAAATTGTTAAACATTTTTTTCATATAAATATTTTAGCCTCCCATTTTTAAAATGTTAACTTTTGGTTTTTCTTTTGTTAAAATATGTCAGATTTTATCTTTCTCACTAATTTTTGTTAATTCAATTTAATAGTTATATTTCATTAGTACATTATTTTTGGACACCAAAAAATTGTTGTTTTAAAAATGAGGAATTAAATTTGATTTTTTTACATATTTATGAAAAGAAAATGTTAAACCATTTTTTATTAAGAGGACAAAAATACTTAATCCTTCTAAATTTTATCTCATGAAAATAGAGACTATATACAAACTTTAATTTTATTTTAATTAATATGTAAATTTTTATTTTATGAAGAAATAAACACTATAAATTTTAATTGTGTTATGATTGATTTTTAATTTCACCTTTTTTTTTACAAATAAACATTTTGATTTCAATTTCTAGTAAATTAATTCTTAAAATTTGCCTCTTATTGTAAATATAGTTATCTCTTATATTTTATTGGCCACGGGATTAAACAATTTTTTAACACAAGGGATTAAATTATTAAAAATATATATATATATATATCGATCATTATTGATTTTACATCACACTCACTTATTAATTTTATTTTTATATATAACTTTTCTATATATTAAAAGTTAAAACATCATGAAGTTCAGGATTAAAAAAATCTAATAAAGACTTCATTATTATTTTTTCTTTCTTTCAAAATTCATATTTTTATTATATTTGAGAAATATATAATAGTTACAAAAGAAGAGAAAAGATTAATGAATGATTGATAAATAATTTAACTCTAAAATAATTAAAAAAATCGATTTTTAAAAATGAGAAATACTAATTAGAATGAAATTAAAGTTGAGAACATTTATTTGTAAAAAAAGAAAGAGTAAAATTTAAGAATTAATATAAATAAAGTTAACGTTTATGATGTCCATATAGAGCTGTCAAAACGGGTAACCCGGCCCGGCCCGGCCCGGCCCACCACGGGTTGAGCCTTTGGTGGGCTAACCCAACCCGGCTCGTTTATTGGTGAGCTGGAAAAAATTGAGCCCGGCCCGGCCCACCACGGGTTGGTGGGTTAAACGGGTTGGCTCACCTAATTTAAAAAATCACCTAATTTAAAAAAATGTAATCAAATTTAATGCCTAATCCTGCAAAAATAGTATGCACATAAGCTTTTCTAGAGAAAAGTAAATAAATTCCTACACTAATTACATAATTTGAAGAAAAAATACATAAAATTGAGAACCTATGATGGTCTATGAAGTTTTATTTGGCCCAACCCAATAGCAGAAGTTTTTTTTTTTTTATGGGCTGGTGGGTCAGCCCGGCTCACCACGGGTTGAACCCGGGTGAGCCGGGTTGTTAGTGGGCCGGGTTTAAAATTGGCCCACACTGAAATTTGCAAATTTTTTTTAGCCCAACCCGGCTCGAACCCGTGGTGGGCCGGGTTGGCTCACCGGGCTGAGCCCATTTTGACAGCTCTATGTCCATATATAACACTGTAAATTGTATTATTGTTTATTTAACTTTATTGAATAAATGATTGATATGATTTATTTTTTTAATGTTTTAAAACTCTAATGATGTGTTTGGATGGAGAATTTATATAGGGTAATTCATTTATTTGAAGAATTTCAAATTCTTTGAGGTGAAATACTTTGTTTGGATAAAGAATTTACAAAAAATTTGAAATCCAAGCATGTGTGAAATTCCTTCAAATAGTAGAATTTCAAATTCTCCAAAAAATGGGAGAATTTGAAATTTCTCATATTTTTTTTTATTTCACCTATATATTTTATCTTATCTCTTCATTCTTTTAATTATTGGATATTCAAAAATATTTTTAAAATTATTAAATATTATCTAATATTAATTTTTAAAATTTTTAAATATTTAAAAATGGATTAATATTTATTTTTATAAAATTTAATTTTAAAATCTCAACATATAAATATATTTTTAAAATCAATTTTATTATGGTAGAATTAAATTATCATATATTCAACCTAACAATTTAAAATTTAAGAAATTTGAATTAACTCATCCAAACAAAATATTTTAAGAATGATAGAAATTGAAATCAAAGTAATTCAAATACCAAGAATTTAAAATTCCTTGAATTTGTAAAATTCCTCATCCAAACATACCATAAGGATTGATGTTGTGAGTTAAGGTCATTATTGGCTAAGTTTGGTGGATGATATATAAAGTTTTCTTAAGACTTGAATTTCATAAATTCACTTAGAGAAGTTAGAGAGATAAACTCCGAATTCAAAGGAAACCATTCTTCCTTCTAACTTCATGGAGTGACTCTGATTCTTCCTCGGAGCATCATTAGTAGGAGTTCGTTTGAGATTCGAAGTTGAGAAGTAGAGAATCAGAGGGAGAAGTTATCATAGATAGTTCAAGGTTTCTTGAGATTCTTTTGTGAATGCATGTTGAGTTGTTGATGATAGAAAATAATGGCTCAATCCAAGAAGGGGTGAATTGGATTCAATGATACTTAAAAAATTTATCAGAATTTAAGAATCTTTATTTCAATTATAACTTTTCTAATGCAAATTTTCAATGAAGTTTCTTCAACCTCTTGTAAATGGGAATGTCTCCTATATGAGTTCTTGCTTAATATTTATTGAATTATGTTTAAGAACAACTAATATGCAGTGGTTATATTTCAGTTTAAATCATTTTTAATCATACAAACATATTAGTCAAGACCAACCATTTTCACATTTAATTAAAGATTGATCAATGTAAGAGATAAGGATGAGAGAAGAGTGCAAAGTGTTTTATCCTAGTTTAGCCACTCCACATGTGACATACATCCGGTCCTCAATCATAACTTGATCAAGATTTGTTCCACTATCTCAATGAATAAGTTTTACAAGCATGCACTAGTGCAAAAAAGGTAATTTACGTCGGTTATTTTAAGTTTTTTACGTCAGAAAAAAGGGTCAACATTAATGCGGGAGACGTAAATTTATGTCGGTTGTGATAGCTGACATAAATTTATGTTGTACATTCACAAGAGCCGATGTAAAAAAGTTGTAAAAAAAAAACATAACGAGTGCAAGCAGGACGACCCGTTCTGCAAGTGCTGCAAGCAGAACGACCCGTTCTGCTTGGAGATCCACTCAAACGCGGAGAATTTTCTACTTGATATAACTAATATATTAACATAGGATGATCCACCCAAATGCGAAGAAGAGGATAATATTAACTAATATATTAATAGATCAATACATACATTTATTTTCAACAAATTAACTAATATATTAAGAAAGGATTTTCCAAACTAACCTCAAACGCGAGCCCAATGCAATCGGTCAAAAACTCAAGAACCACACAAACGCCCAAACGTACACTCAGATACAATACACTCAAACAAAATGTTAACTCAGAAGACTCGATTTGCACATATACTCAAAGCTCTGTTGTTTAAATATTGACGCACGTGCGAAGAAATTTGAAATTTGTAGATTTTTCAATTTACGTCGGCCCCTATGAGGTCCGACGTAAAAACTTTATTATAATTACAAAAATGTCACCGCGTTTTTTTAACGTCAGATTTTTCTTTGTCCGACGAGAATACAGTGACGTAAATTTCATATTTTGTACTAGTGATGCCACACATGCACACACTTCAACACTCAAGATAAACACTTTCTTGAACCCAAGAAAGCACTTTTTGTAGAAACCCACTACAAGAATTCCTTACCACTTGAGACACTTACTCAAAATTTTCTTAACACATTACACAAAAGTTTAAAGGAACGAATTCACCAAAGAAGCTGAACAAATCAGACTGTGAACTCTTAACCAATTTTAATCCTTCTTCCCAAGAATGTAGTGATGATGATGATTTCTCTCAAAGCATTTTATAAAATATTTTTCTTCTTGATTTCACAAAGAAAACACTCCAAGAAGTTCACAAAGACTTCAATAATAAATCCATTGTTTACTCTCTTTTATTCTTTGTACTTGTTTCAAAGTGTGAAAACCATTTATAGAGTTTTCCAGACCTAGATAATCAATTATTTTGTTCTTCATGAATTCTGAAAATCACTTAAGAACATAATAAATCGATTATTTTGCAGGATAATCAATTATTCTAGAGAGCACCTTTTGGAATAATAAATTATTTCACAAATAATCGATTATTACAGTAAGGTTCTTTCAACCTCTTGTTGGAATAATCGATTATAGTTAGTAATAATTGATTATTTTGAGTTAGTTTTCAAAAATTCGATTTCACACTTCAAAAACTTTCCAAGTTGTTTTTAAACATCATACTCACTCTTAGACAATTTGGATTAAGATTCACTCATGTACAAAGCACACAAATGTATAAACAATAAACTCAACAAGGCAACTCAACATATAAGAACACATAAACTACTCCCATTAAATATTGTATTCTTTCATGATCTTCATGTCTTCATTAGCTTATGTCCTTTGTTATCTTCAAAACTCTTAGAACTTTTGTTATCATCAAAACTCTTAGAACTTGATTCACCATCCATGAATCTCAACAATCTCCTCCTTTTTTATGATGACAAACTAATATGTTTTGCTCAAGTAATTAAGAAGATCTCAATATAAGTAGTTTAGCCTACTTGTGCCTTGTTATTATTCAGACTTGCAAAACAAATTCAACCTTTCTCCCCCTTTGGACAACATCAAAAACATACAATAGAACTAATAAAACCAATATGTCCAATTTAGAGAGACAACATTGCAGTTTCCATATGTATATATGCACAAAAATGTTAGTCCAGCATTCATACCAAAGATTTTGATACATAAGAAAACACAACATATATGTATCTAACATTTCATACATAATTGATTCCAAGAAATGAGTCAAGCATGTTCCCATGAGCATTATTTCAAATGCACTAGCACATATAACAAATATTAAGCATAGCAAGTGTATCATTTTAAGAATCACAAATTTATACCAATGCTCAAAACAAAATAACCATCATCTAGCCAATATCAAACAACAACCAAATTTTAATTGTACTAGGATTAAATTGTTCCAACATCAACCAAATTAAAGCAACACTAAATTGTTTAAGACTTAAAACTATTACAACCAAATTGAAGTACTTAAAATTATAAATTTTAAAGACTGAAATTAAAACTAGAAACTCCTAACAACAGAACAATAGCCAAGCACATTACTCTGAGTCATCTTGAATCCCCAATTGAGCCTTAATTCTTGCAATCTCATGATCTAGGCTGTCAAACCAATCAAGAATGCCAGAATGTTGTGACTCATGCTTCCTTGTCTTCTCCATGACAACATCAAGCTTGTTAATCATTATTTGCTGAAACGGAGAAAATGCCTTAGGCACCGATTCCAATTCTTGTTATGGTTCAGGTTCCACTTGAGGTGGCTAATCCTCATCATGAGATGGAACACCATCTTTATCAGTTGTTGGTTTAGGTGTTGGTGGAACATCACCTTTGAATATCCACTTGTCCTCTTGCTTCAACATCCCCATGTGATGTAGAGAAGATTTCTCAATCTTTTTTGAAGTATGGAGAATAATCTTTTTCTTCCCCTAAAGATCTACCCCTGCATTCTCAAAATCTTGTCTTGTGGGTTTTCTTGTCCAACAACTTGTGTCTTGTGTGACAACAATTTAAAAAACTCATGGCACCTTTTCTTTGCGTGTAGTTGGTGGGCAAGTTCGCAGGTTGATACGATTGCCACATTCATGGTTAAAGCAAATGATTTAGAGGATTTGAATTTTAGAGTATTGGAGTATTTATACAAAAGACAACCAGTTGAGTTTGTGATGATTTTATGGAGTATCTGTTTTAGCAAAAATAATAAGTTGGGAGAAACAATAACTTGGGATATAAATAATTTTATTTTCATGGCTAAAGAGACCCTCACGAATTGGCTTCAAGTACAACAACCTACAAAATATCCAACTTTTGTTGCACCATCCAAATCTACCATCCATTGGTTTCCTCCTCATTTTCCGGCATTAAAGTGTAATGTTGACGTGACTCTATTCCCTTATAATGGCACAATTGGTATTGGTTTGTGTCTACAAGATCACATTGAAAATTTTGTTGGAGCCTAGACACACTACTTTCACTTTATGCCTCAATTACATGAATGTTGAGGCGTTCACAGTTTTCGAAGGACTTCTTTGGGTTCGTGATCAAAGTCTTAGTACTATTTTTGTTGAGACAGACCATTAAAGAGTGGTTGTTTGTCTCAAATGTTCCAATATTAGTTTCTCTGAATTTGATGTTTTAGTAAACTAATGCATCAAAGTGTTAAGTAATTTAACAAATTGTGATATGTTAGTTTTATACAAAGATAGACTAATTAAGTGACTCATACTTTGACTAGAGTAAATGAATTCTATATTGATTTTCATGATTTCAATTACATTCCTTCATGTGTTGTTCAAAAGATTCTAAATGAAATACATTGAATATATTTTCATAAAAGAAATATATAAGACATGTTAATGCAATATTTTTCAAAAAATTTAAGGAGAGTCATTATAGAGGTAGAAAAACATTCTAATAATTTCACAAAAAATTATGGGTGTTACTTGTCATTTTACTTTTTTTTTATATTATAATAATTTTTTTTATTTATTGATAATTTATTTTAATATATTAATATTTAATATATGAATAATTATTATAAATAAAAATTAAATGGCTAAAACCCTATTTTGGTCCCTTATAATTTTTTTTTGTTTCAATTTAGTCCCTCATTAATTTTTTGTCTCAATTTGGTCCCAAACTAATTAAGTGGTTTCAATTTAGTCCTAAATTTATTAATTGGTTTCAATGTGGGACTTTCCGTCCAAATTGCTTTAACGGTGTTAACTTTTGGCCACGTGGACGCCACGTAGATGCATACGTGGCATCCACGTGGATGAGAATTTTTTTGAAAATACCTGGACCCAGAACGGCCCGTTCTGAAATCGGAACAGGCCGTTCTGGGTGCACTTTTGGTGTGTTAATTTTGCATCCAGAACGGCCCGTTCCAAGTGCAAAATTAACACACCCAAAATGCACCAGAACGGCCCGTTCCAGTTTCAGAACCGGCCGTTCCGATTTTATTTTATTTTTTTATATATAAAATATTAATAATTTTATAAAATATATATTATTAATTATATTTTAATTATGTTATTATATCCAATAAAATAAATATATTAATATTTTTTT